GCGTAAGGCATTACGTATGCCCACAGGCCGAAATAAACATCTTACATCCTGTTTTCTCAAAGAGCCACAACAAAAGAAGTTATCTCAGTTAAAAGGAGTCTTTTAATAACCCAAGTCTGACTCAATACCCAAACCCAAGTCTCGGACTTGGGTACCCAATACCCAAACCCAAGTCTCAGACTTGGGTACCCAATACCCAAACCCAAGTCTGAGACTTGGGTTTGGGTTTGTAACATACCTACTGATTATAGACAAGCATAACAGATACAAACCACAGCCAACTTGTCTCAATCTTTTATTAGAAAGTGTAATAATGCTAAATATATTGCAAATTAAACCTATGACAACAACCAAAATAACAACTGTCAATGATATTTTTACAATAGTCGCCTGTTCTGTAAGAATGGCACTACCTTGTAAGATTTTGGTACCAACTAATACATCAAATGTAATAGAATATTGTTCAGATGTGAACTAACAAACCTGTCCAAGATAACACTTTTGACACAAGCAAACAAAATCCCATTGTTTATTTAGTGAATCACGTCGTATACACAGGCTATTATTTTCACAATAATTACAATTATTATATTTATGATCAAACACATTGCATTCGATCGTATGATCAGATGTACATAAGCACATATAATATTCATCAAAGAAACATCTTAGATGATGATTCTGTTTGACATGGTATGTAATATAATTTCATTCGTCTCAAATATGTATAGTCAAACAGAATAGTATTATTGAATAATTTACTTACGTGTGAATACAAATTTCTTGCTACGACTGATGTATCTACTTTTAGACTACTACTATACTTGTTTATCTGCACTCCTACCATTTAGTGCAAATTTTTATTTGCGCTGAAGTAAAGTCGAATAAAATGAACATGGTGGTTAAGAGTATTTTCATTAATGTGCAACAAAGCTGATAAAAAACATTTTTAAATAATATACACTGTGGGATTACTGTGAAATAAGCCTTTCCCATAGCCCAACTAGTACTAAAATAAACAATAACTGGTAATGGTAACTGAAACTGTGAAGTATTAGAAGAGATGAAATCATTTACATTGATCCTAATATTTATTGCATCCTTATATGCTTCACAATTTTTGCTATAATAAGAATCTATACAAGCACAAACATAATCATGAGTTTTACTCTTTAGTAGAATACATGTACCATTATTTTTACATACGATATTAGTACAAGCATTATATTTTATATAACATTGTGGACCGCTTTTATCTAATGGACACAGACATTTTGCGTTTTCTAATATGATACATTCAGAACCAACAGAGCATGATTTCTCATTACATATATTAGACGATAGTTTTAGATTACATTTGTCACCAAACCATCCTTAATCGCATTTACAAAATTCTTTTTCTTCCAATTTAAATAGTACATACATTTTCCATGCCTTCCACAATTCAATGTCTTACACTGATATTTTGCCAATGGTTTACTTTCGAGTAATAATAAAAGGGCTAATCTATTGACGAATGGCAGAGGAATAATATTTGATAAAGCCAACTTGATATATTGAACATTTGTTATTGCTATAACATATGAATCAATACGAATATATTTTGGTAATTGTCGTGGTCGTCCGCTCATTAAATATACAAAATATTTCGAATGTCCAAATGCATCTTGATTATGCACAATTTCTTCATGTGATATTATTGAATCATTTTCAGTTAACAAGTAAATGATTAGCCGAATACTGTAACTTTAATAATAGAAAATACCGTATCAAACTTCAAAATAACGCTTATACGTTCCGACTGGTATTGACAGCGATCACCATAGGACGATAGTGGACAAAAACAGACACCCTCATCCAATATTAACGATTATACTAAAACACCCCGGTTACATTTAATAAACTCTATATTACTTTTTGTTTCGGATAATAGAAAACCATTTAGAGTAGTACTATCAAGATTTTCCGGTCTTCTTAAAATGGGATATGCTTCGAACTTAGGCGTCCCCTCAGAAGACTGTCGTATATCACAGAACCAATATTCTTCGTTACGTAAACACATGTTCTCCCGTTCATAAAGCGAACAGCGCATATCTGTAAATTGCAGATCTTGGCATCGAAAATATGTGGAATTTGCAGAATATTAACCATGGACAAACTCTCTCGTCGTCACCATATGGACAATCAAATGTTCGATCACATACTTGTGACGGATCTGTACAAATATCGCTATTCATGCAATGAAAACGTTTATCCAGTTCTTGTGGATACCATATTGAACAATTATTTATTTTACGTTCATCAGTGCTTCTGATACAATCAGTGATTCCATCTGCAGCTTTATTCAATGGCAAACATGTCATATTAATATTATTACCATCATCGACGAATTTAATGCAATAATGTTCATTTTCATTACAACCGAAACCTTTCTGTATATTTGAATAATGAGTTAGAGAAGTAGTACAATTTAATTCATCCTGTCCATCGTTACAATTCCATTCTTCATTACATTTTGTATACAAATATTTAGTTACTTACAAAAACCTGATCTAATCTGTATATTTAATTCGTTGAATCAACGCTTTCAACAAATAATTACGCCATACTTTTATGATATCGATCTTAGTAATGCATCCTTCACACAATTCAACTCATTTACGAAACACATATAATCCTCCGAACAACATCACAATATTTGTTCACTTATATTAAAAACAGTGAACAATTACAACAACTATTTGATAGTGGATGCTATTAGGTAAATGTTTTATTTCTTCAAAGATAAACTCTGATCTGACCCTTTTTTTGTGTACACCCGACAGTTTAAAATACTTGTGACGTTTTACGGATTCATGTATGTCTAACACTTCAAGTGAGGACGTTCTAAAAAAAGAGTGACGGACATTCAACACTGATACATACTGTCGTTTCTGTTCTTTTTCTCGTTTTAGTATCCGGTCGTTCTCAAAAAAACATATTCAACGTTTACAAAAATTAAACTTAATTAATCATTAGTTTCATGAATCGAAATTACTTTATTTTGTCTTACCAAATTTGTCATCTATGTCAAACTTAACTGATCTTTATCTGACCATATTAAGTGACTGTTGTATAGTAGATAAACTTAGTAAGATTGTTCGAGATTTACTATCGACATTAACACATTTAACTTTATTATGTTTATGGAAGAACCATCGTGGTCATACTGATATGTAAGGATTAACATTACCATCAAATATAAAATCATTAGCATTTTCAGTAAAAAATTTAGAATTCATTTATAAATTACATTTATTAAAGATAATGAATAATGTTGAAGAATTAAAAGTATCCACAGTAGATCAATCTGATGATTTTGAAGAGAAATATTCTATCACTGAGTGTCCCACAAAATTAGTTACATTATATTAGAATTGACTGTTCAATTTGTAAATCATAGAACTCTATCAGAGCTTTTAAAAGTCTTTAATTATCAATTGAAATCATTGACATTCATAATCACAGTGATCACCATCACGACTTTTGACTTGAAGAGTTAATTAGAGACTATGATAAAACATATCTCTCCATTACTCACAAGGTTACAATATGCGATTTATTGTCAACCTCCTTCTTCTTCAACTACCACTACTAGAATAAGAAATTCCTACCCTCCATCTTTGCCTTTCAGTGGCAGATTAAAGTATAATTTTGATTGGGAGAATTATCACGATTATTTTCATTGACAGAAACATCGATTATTATTCAATACAACTGTATTGGACCTGGAAGATGGATATGATATTTCTAACATCGATTTAAAACTATTAAAATTACATAAACTAGTCTACCGATTGCCATTGTCACAAAATCATCTTAACCATAACGAAATTGAATTTTAAAAAGGTTATTTCTGATATCACCAAATTTAAAATGTTATAGACTAAAAGGGTATGGTTGGTACGATTTACAAACAATGATTGAGCTACTCAAATTAATTTCTGCGAAAAATACTACAAGTTTAGAATGTAACGCTTCTGTATTTCATCGTTCATTTCTAGTTGATTTAGCACAAATAATTCTATATCTTAGAGAACTTAGTTTAGATAGTATACAGTATAGAAAAGATAGTATGAAAAATCATCGTGGAAACAACAATAACAGGAAAGTTTTAACAGCAAAGATGGAATTCAACATGTTGAACTCTATTTCAAACAATTAATTCATTTATATTTATATGAGTTTTACGGATGAGATGATCTATGAACGAAAAGCTCATAGAGAATTAGAAAAATGGTTAAACGATGAGCAGCAACAAAATCGATTTTATTCAATTTATAAATTAAAATCAGATGAACGTTCATATTGTCGTCATTGCAATGATTCGGATTCTGATGATTACCTAAGGACATATCTTTATTGTTTATATATTTCACGATAACAAAAAGATGATAAGTTGTAGTTAACTGTGAAACTATTGATTTTTTCTGTTGTTCAGAACGTCGACGTAGGCCCATCCACGATCCGACTAAGGAAAAATAAACTGTCAATTCATACTCAAAGAAAAGAATTGTAGAACTTATAATAGAAACAGTACAAGAACAGACTCAATTCTTCTGTACAATATGTATCACAGTTTCACCCTCAGCATTTGGTATAGAATGACGGTATAGGTACAAGGAGTTCTATCACGCATTTTTCCTATGGCTCGTATTCTCTCGGAAAGAAATGGCAGTCCAGAGAAATCCTATTTAATACTTTGAATATCTAAGTGAGCAGTTTTGTGCAAGATATTGAACTAATCACATCCACATATGTTTTCAAACGCACAAATCAATCAAAATGTATATAAATCTTTGAAAACACTCCGAAGACCTTTTATCTAAAGTTGAGAAACTCGAAACGACTTACTTCTGTCACTCTTTCCCACGCTAAAAGTTGCAGTTGCTAGCACGTGTGTCCAAAAAGAGAACGAGATGATAAAAAATTTCTGGGCACAAGTAGTGCATTTCTTTTTCAGAAACTCTAACGAAAGATTTTTCAACTATTCATTTTGTTCAACTATTTGTTATAATTAGGCTTGCACCAGTTCTAATCTTAGGCTTGGAGGTACAATCGGGATTGGTACCAGTTAGGCTTGGTACTAATTCCGCCAATCTCCAGCTAGGCTTGAGTTTCAAAAAATATACGAAATGGGAGACTTAGTTTTATATATCCCATTGGCACATAAGTTCTGCACGTTTTTTTTCCGATAAGAGAAAAACCCGTTTTCTTTGTCAATGTAATTCAAGATGCAATTATGATCCAAAAATATTTTTGTCGTTGGTGATATCCCGTTTTT